ACAAAATAGGGCTGGGGACGGGGCTCAGGGGTCGAGGGTCCCCGAGTTCAATCCCTGGTAGGCACCGTCCTGAAAAATTACCTTCCGAGTAGTGAGACAAGGTGAGGAGGCTCACGCAGGAAGCTCCGGCCCCTGAGCCGAAGATGGTCACTCTCTTGGGGTCCCCTCCGAAGGCCCCCACGTTCTCCTCGATCCACCGCAGGGCCTGGATCTGGTCCAGGAGCCCGTAGTTGCCCTTGGCCGCCTGGTCCCCGGTACTCAGGAAGCCTGCAGGGACGAGACCCGCCTGTCAATCACAGCGAGCACCTGCACCCTGTGAGCATCCAACATTTTCTTTCTTTTTTTTTTTTTTTGTTAATTGCATTTCTTCTGTGAAGGGTCTGCTCAGATCCTTAGTTCAGTTACCGAYGGGGTTGGTTACTTTTTTTGATGTTATCTCTGGGAGTTGGGGACATGCAGATTCAAAGCACAGGGAGATTCCGTCTCACCCAAGTCCGAATGGCAATCGGGACAATCAATGCAATAAATACAGGTAACCATCAATAGGGGCGAGGATGTGGGGAAAAGGCACACGCGCACGTGGCTGGTGGGACTGCAGATGGGCGCAGCCACTCTGGGAAGCAGGATGGAGAATCCTCGGAAAACTGGAAATGGAACCACCATGGGACCCAGCTATCCCACCCGCCAGTTGATACCCAAAGGACTTAAAATCAGCCCATGACAGGGACACAGCCACATCGATGTTTATAGCAGCTCAATTCACAATAGCTAAACTGTGGAACCCACCTAGGCGTCCCTCAATAGATGAATGGATAAAGAAAATGTGGTATATATACACAATGGAATAGTACTCAGCCATGAAGAAGAATGGCATGATGGTATTTGCAGGGGACTATCATACTAAGTGGAATAAGCCAATCCCAAAGAACCCAGGCCAAATGCGTTCTCTGATGTGTGCATACTAATTCACAATAAGGTGGGGGGTTATGGAAGAACAGAGGTGCTTTGGATTAGGCAGAGGGGAGTGAAGGGAGGGGAGGGGTGTGGGGTAGGGAGGACAGGAGAATGAATGGGACATTATGACCCTGGGTGCATATGTGACCACAGGAGCAGGGTGAWTCTGCACCATGTGCCACCAGAAGGAGGAGAAGTGACACTCCATCTATGTGGGACGTGTCCAAGTGCAGTCCACCGTCAGGACCGAGAACTAATCAGAACAAATCATTTCAGATAAATACTAAAAAATCTGGYGCTTTAATCACACTCCAAACCCTCCACTCCTATTCCCATCTCCCCAACTGTCCGCCCGATATCAGGAAAGGTCGCTCCTAACTTTTACAAAAAGGAGGATTCTCCCAGGGGACAGTTTAGATTTTGCTAAAGACCGTCACATGACCAAAAATTGTCTCTCCCTTGATGGATTCAGGTCACTTCTCGGCAAGATGGAGAGTTACTTTGGCAGAAGCAAAATCACGCATCTCTTTTTTTTTTTCCCCCTAAAGCATCCTGCGTGTTTCATTAGTTGCATGGAC